GCCGGGGATTGAACTCAGGCCTTGCAAGCGCTTATTCTACTGAGCCATCTCCCCGGCCCCAGGACAGTGCATTCTAAGGCCAGTTTTTCCACATCCCATCTGCAAGGCTATGCTACAGAGACTACAGAAATAGAGAAAAAATGTCAGAGAATGGTGCCAGCAAGAAAGAAAAATGAAGTAAAGAAAGAAGAGAAGGAGATTCTCTTGGAAATAATATAAAAACTAACACCAGCTTGGAAACTTTTAAGAGATCAAAGGAGAAGAAAAGTTCAAGCTCAGATCTTCATCAACTGCTCTAGAAACCGTTCACCCTGCGAAATGCATAAAACACTTTAAAGCAAATTTTAATCTAACAGCCTTGCTATTAATGTGACTATACATTACAGATAAATAAAAATATTTCTTGCGAACGTGTCAAAGTATGAACAGAAGACAACAAAATCTAGATTAATCTATGGTAAAATGCTATTGTACTTTTAAGTGGAAACAAATAATTATCCTCATCAATCCTTTTTGAAAGTAATATTAAAACAGGTATTGAATTTACAAAAGTCATTGATCAATACTGAGATAAAAATTGCTTTTATTTAATAAGAATGAAAAAAATTTTAACTGTATTTTTGTGACAGATATTTGAGAGGTCAGTATCAAAATGTTCAACATGTTTCAGGATAGAATGAGTAACAAGATAAAACAGGATGGTGCTTGGGGAGCAGTACATGCTTAATAGTATTGTTTATTGATTTTGTAAGTCTAGAACCAAGGATTTTGATGCCAATGAAAAGTAATGTACTGTTTGTTCAATACTATGAGCCAAATTAAATGATAGTTCATCACAGCTCTAAAATCAACTTCAAAATATATAAGCTACCCTTTCAATGATGCTTTTCTCTAAAATATCTGTATTTATCTGCTTACCATAAAGTAGTAGCATTTTTGCTGAATGACCAAATTGCTGAATGACCAAGTAGTTTTTACTTTTTGTAAAATATTTTTACCTTTTCTAAAGCAAAGTAACATAAAAATATTAAAAATAACAAAAGCATGAACTATGCATACGAGAAAATAAGCAAAGAAAACCATAAAAATATTCACAATCATTACTATTGTATTTTGAAACTATGTATCATTCTAATTTTCCCCTTCATACTGGTGTTATGCATTCAGGCAATTTTTCCACTAGGATTCCCAGTAATTTTTTTTTTTTTTTTTTTTTTTTCACGGAACCAGGGATTGAACTCAGACCCTTGCGCTTACCAGGGAAGTACTTATTCTACTGAGCCATCTCCCCAGTCCCTAAATTATTATTTTTTGAATAATTAAAGCAAATGGAGCCAGGGAGATGGCTCAGTAGAGTAAGTACTTCCCTGGCAAGCACAAGGGCCTGAGTTCAATCTTCAGTTCCACCAAAAAAAAAATTAAAGCAAAGAGGCCTGGGGAGAGAGCTCAGTGGCCTAAGTGCCTGTCTGGCAAGCACAAGGTCTTGAGTTCAATCCCCACCACCAAAAAATAATGATGATGATGATGATGATAACAATTTAAGCAAAGAAAAAACTGATACAGAATTTTTAAAATCTTAAATCTGTCCATGTAAAATTACTGATTTTTAAAAATCAATCTTATATATTTTTACCTAAACCTGATCTGAGAAACTTTGGAACTCTTTTGTTCAAAACAGAAAGAAGTTCTGAATTGAAAAACATATATTTATGAGCAAAAGGATTTTAGATTTTTCTGAGTAACAGTTTATCAACCTCTCTGTCCACAGGAACACAGTGGTATAAACAAAGTTTGTACTTTTACACAGACTTCCTAGTTGAACAAACCACCACAGAACCCAAACCACCAACTAAGGGTGCGTGGGAGGCGGCAGTGAGTGATCCACAGGCTTGCAGAATTCAGCACTAGCCTCCAAGCCACCCTTGTTTCACACAGGTCTATGGTGTTCAGCTGTGGCGTCTACAGAGTAACTGAACTACAGAACAGCTGAGAGGAGAAACACGCCTATGTGAAGAAAGCACCATGCCGAATAACAATATTGTCCATATAAGCGCTGCATTTTCTCTGAGCCAGAGTGCAGGTCGTGCAGAGTTTCTCACAGACTGCCACTCATACCTCCAATGACCATGTTTCACAGCAGGCTCAATACATTCCAGCATGTAACTGCACTTTAATTTCCTAAAACCACAGGATGTAAGTCTGACTTCAAGTACTGTCTGGACTGTGATATTCAATACTGATAAAACTATATAGTATTCTCTTGGAAATTTCAAAGACCCAGATTGAAAAAGAACCTTCATTTTTCTTCGAAGCACTATTCTCAAAGAAATTTACTCTGAGCTCTGTATGGGTTTTAAACAAGGAATAATAAAAAACTATGCTGTTATGAGAATGTAACTTGCTAAATTACAGGAAAAGAACATGCTACGTATTTATCACTCACCAGGATACAGTATATGCTCTTGACAAAAAGTCAATATAAGATTTTAAATTTTCTTTGCCACGAAATGTCCATTAGTGATTTTGGAAAATAATTTATAAATTTATTAACATGAATGAATATTTAGCCATCAGTGCATGAAAATTATTCTAACTCATCTTCTTAAGAGGTATAAAATTGTGTCCTAAGTGTGGGAATTAAAAACAAATTTCTGGTCCAAATAATATTCAACTGGAAGAAACTTATAATGTGACCGTGAGATAATTCAATAAAATGTTCAGCAGTTTTTCTCACAAGGGCTTGGCTCCGACATGACTTGGAGAAAGGTAAAACAGTTGCTTTTGTTTTCTAGGGGACAGAAGTGACTGGTAAATAGGTATGTGCCTTCCTCTCTGACACTATCATCTTTAGTGACTGACCTGATTCCAAAATGAGAAATTTAATGTTGTTTTCAAGTAACAGACTATCTGTTTCATCAAGTCTGAGATATAACTCAGAATGAAATCATCCCATTCTGATTAACTGTTTAAGGCATAAGAATGATTAATCCTGGTTAAACTATAAAACCTAAATACCTGAAAACTCTCCAGCCAACTCCAGTGCACATGGCATGCATCAGCTGGGTTCTAGGATGCTCCTCATCCAAGGCATTACCATGGATAAGTAGTACCATTCTTGATTTCAAAACAACTTTTCTAGGAGGTAACAAAACATATTACATAAAGAAATTTTTTATAAGGAAAAGCTCAATTTGTGAGGAAAAATGCACATCGTAGAACTAAAGGAACTACTGTATTTCTTTCTTTGCTTCCTTATGTTCCTGTTTAATTCTATTTACTTCTTTCCCCTCTACCACCAGCCTTTGCATTTCTTTCCTTATTTTTTTAGATCCTAGTGGCAAACAAAAAAATGAGTTCTTAACAGGAAAGCACCATCATCTACTTTGTGGTGGATTCTTTTGAGGACTGAAAGCTAAATTAAGCAAAATTTGGAACATAAAGGAACATGACGCATAGGAAGTCATGAATGTCAGCATAATACAACTTATTCCAAAAGCACAAAAAGCACGCCAACCTAGCAAAGCAGCAGGCAAACACCCTGAGGATCAGGAGAAGAACTACTTTTACATTGCAAAGGCTACTCAGGCTACCAGGAGATAAATATGACTGCACCCTTTTCCAGAGAGAATTACACAGCATATAAAAGTAAATGCAAAAAAGTTAAATAAATAAAAGCAAATGTAGACAAAAGCTTGTAGTATAAATGTGATACAGCATTCTGGGTAACAATCACCAAAACAACAATCACAGGGAGTGGTTCTTAGAATGTCCATCATATAACCCTCATGTTAGCTCAAGAAGGTAGATCTTATTGTTACTTTAACATTAAAAGTACAGAAATTGTTCCCAGCACCTGGGAGGCTGAGGCAGATCATGGTGAGTTAAAGGCCAACTTAGGCTACACAGTGAGCTGAAAACCAGCCTGAACTACATAGTGGAAAACCCTATCTCAAATAACAAAATAAAATAAAATAAATCAATAAAGTTGAGAGCAGGGAAATTTTTTTAACTGAATAAGAACACATGGTATAGCAACTGATTATTAAGTCATGCAGTACTTTCAGTGTGTTTGTACATTAATACAGGCGAATATCCAAATGGAAAACAAAATGTGGCTAGGACCAGAGGTAGGAGATGGGGCAAAAGGGAAATGTATCAGGGATATAAGCAAAACCCCAAGATCATATTGTCACAAGCCTTCTCGTAGCCCGTTTGGCTCCATGACATCATTCTACACCTGCACTCAGTCAACTAGTCAATACTTCTAAGCACTGGCCAAATAATCAGCAGTGACAATTCTTATGTACTGAGATGGCTTTAAAAGAAATGGGGACTGGTGTCAGTCCTCAAACCATGTAAAGCTGGTCAAACACAAAAATGCAGGGGCAATATGCAGTCCAAGTACATGAAGTTCCTTAATTTCTGCTAAACTGTGTGTTATGGTTTGTGTCTAGTTGTCCCCCCAAAGCCTCATGTAAGTCATGGGCGGGCTTCTAGAGTTTGTGATTAACTCATGATCCACTGGGATTATGGGTGCGAGTGCTGCTGCGATCATGGGTGCGAGTGCTACACCCAGCCTGGGGCTGACAGCTGAATGCAACTTACAGGAGACAGACTTGCTCCCTGAGGCCGCTGTTGCTGCTGCTCCTCCCTTCTGCTCTCCTTCCACCGCCATGCACTGCTGCTCTCTGCCATGTGCCGCTCTGCCTTCTAGCCCGCTGAGTATGGACTGAGACCTCTAGTAACTGTGAGATAAATAAACCTTTCCTTCTTTCATTTTGGGTGTCGCGTATTTTGTCCCAGCAATGAGAGAAAAGTAACCAAGACACTGTGTGTGGCACATATGATGTCACCCCTAGCCTATACACACAGGTGTACATGTACACACACATATTCTATAGCAGATAAAAGCTATTTGCCCCTGGAAAGGGCCACAGACACACACATAAATTGTGCAAACAAAGCCAATGATTCCTAGGTGAGCTCTGCTGCAAACATACCTGCTTCTGGATCCTGGTTGAAACGGCAGTATTTGGAGTTTTCAAGTGGAGGCAGGCACTGCTCGATAGGTACCCAAACATACGTCTCAGGACACAACAAATCCGAAGGTCTATACTGACCCTATAAGAGAAGTGAGGGAAAAAGACACAGACACGTCATTACCAACAAGTAACTCCTGAAATACAAGGCTTTAGGGCACCAGGAAGAACCTAAACTACAAATTTAGACAAAATGAACCAGACAGAGCTTCACTGTAAGTACTGCGACCCTGCTAGTGATCGCTGCTCTATCCTGAGTGTGCACAACTAACTGAAGGTTCTCTGGAAGTGACAACGTTTCCATTTAGGGTACTGTGTTGATTCAGCAGATTCAAATTTTTACTCTTGTTCAGATAAACATTTTACATAATTTTTTTTTTTTGGCAGAACCAGGGATTGAACGCAGGCCCTTGCGCTTGCCAGGGAAGCGCTTATTCTACTGAGCCATCTCCCCGGCCCCTTACGTAATTCTTTTTTTTTTGGGGGGGGGGCGCAGAACTGGGGATTGAACTCAGGACCTTGCGCTTGCCAGGGAAGCACTTATTCCACTGAGCCATCTCCCCGGCCCCTTACATAACTCTTGACAAGCTGATCACCAACTCCCAGTTTCAAAATCAAATTGTCTTTCTGAAAAACAGGGAATAACAGAAACTTTTCATATGTTGGAGAATTTCATAAAGTGAATTTACATTTCCAAATTTCACTGTCCTTCAAAGAATCTATCTTTAATCACAAAATTTTAAATGTATAGAATCATTCGTCTAGTGTTAAAAAGTACTATCTTATCAACTTTTATAATTAACCTAAACTAAAAAAAGTAAAGTAAAACTAAAAAAGGTAAAGTATAGTAAAAAGTTTAAATTATATAATGGAAACTTGGGGAAAA